CTTGTTCCTAGTAGCGTCCTTGTTCCTAGTAAGGCCAGGAGCCCCTAAGCCGTCTTGTTTGAGGTCTTAGAAGGACGGACGGACGTGGACCACTGTGGCTCAGCTGGCTCCTCGTCACTTCGATCGTCCCCGATGCAAAGCACGAACTCCACCTCGCCAAACATCTGCTTGACCTGACAGCGTGAATGAAGCAAGCTAAGCAAAGCAAGCAGCTAAGCTCTGCTTAACCATGGATCATCACAGATCCTTTGACTTGAAGCTAAGGCCTTTCTCTTCAGTAAAAGAAACGATCTGCTTTCAATCTCAAGGCCTTCTGAAGAGCCTTATTCACCGCCACGCCCTTGTTCACGCCACGCACCTTCACCTGACGAAGAAACGTGGTCTAACGCACAAATTGCAAGAATCCACCTTATGACCAATACGGATCCACTTTCGACAATCTAAACTTGGAACCTATGTGAAGTGAAGAACTCTCAAAATAGCAAAGCTTATTCGCAGCTTGTAAAGCTTTTGCAGGTCTGCTTTTTCCACGACCATCTGCACTTGGGCAGCCTCCACGTAGCCCTTGCCCTCGAGGATTTCGAGGTCGTAGCCAACGAGCAGCTCCTCCAACAGTTGCAGGAGCTGTCTTAGCTCACTTTGGGGCCCAGTCGGTACGATCCTATCCCACATGCACTGCTTTCCATGTTGCAAAGCTTGGCTTCAACATGAGAGTTATAGGGTTCCTATCCAGGGCATCGCTACGTTTTCTGTCCACGTAACCTCCGTTCACTGCGCTTCCGACCCCTGGGGTCACTGTCCTTCAAATGGGAGCTGAGCTCTTTCGCTTGCCACGAGCCGAAATGGGGGTCAGCATCTCTGTACTGCCAAACCTCAAGAAATTGGCATCACAACTGTCAAGCAAGTAGCTAGAAAACCACAAAAACGTCTATTTTGCCATTCCAGCGAAAAAACCGCCAGAACAAGGCTTGATGTCACATCACAGTCGCCACTCTTACCTCAATCCGTTCTTCGGTGTTATCTGAGGTCGGTGGCTAATGCACTGCCTTTGTTCTCGATGAAGCTGCCTTGGGTCCTGCCAAATCCGTCGGTTCTCCGACAAAGTCGGTTCTGCTTCCACGTCGCCCATCCAGATGTTTATCAGAGCAACAGCAAGCAAGTGATTGCATGTGAACATGTGCTTTTTTTTCTGTTGGCGGCAGCAACGCCTCATTTGTCAGAACCTTTGAGAGCAAACTTTGATCTTAGCCACTGATGAAGACTGTGAAAGAAGCACCACAACAATCACCAAACAGTGCACGTGTCTAGTTGCTTTCTCAGATCCCCAACACTGGAATGGGCCATCGCTAGTAGGTTGGCCTCAGGTTGGAGGCCATTGCTAGTAGGTTAGAGGCCATGGCTCTTAGGTTGGAGGCCACTACTATTCGGTTTCAAGTTCGCACTCTCAGAGTCTGAACGTCCTCTTCACGAACTGCCGCATGATCTCGAAGGCGAAGGACTGGGCGCTTTTGGGTGACCGTGGTTTGGTCCACTCAGGTAGATGAACACAAGTTGGCAATCCAAGTTCTTGAAAAGCATAGCATAAGATGCAACCAGAAATCCCAAAAACCTTGTACTTGTACCGACCAATAACGGAGCCCTATACCATTTTTGAGGAGACTCGCTCTTCCTCATCACGATCCGATACGCCCACGGCAGGGCGCCTTCCAGTCATAGTCGGGCTTCTGGACCATACCTGTGCAGTAAACTCAGTGACCCTGACCAGCGACTTGTCCACCTCCAAACTATGAAAAGGTGATTTGTTCAGGTAGCCAAGGCATATCTAAGTGCACACTTGGGAGTGTGCATCAAACGCTTTGGCTACAAAGAGTCTTAACATCGATACCTCATGAAGCTTTTTGCTACTAGTAACAAGTGCATTATTACTAGTAGCTAGAAGCTATTAGATTAGAGGCTATTCTTACTAGTAGCAAATAGCTACTAGTAGCGATGCATAATTTGGAGACCTTCTCAGATTCCGGCAATGCCACTGTCCACCGGTGCTGAAGGGCAACTTGTAGAAGAAGCCTGGCGCAATGTCAGGCTTTGCTTCCCAACCTGGTCCTCACTTTTCTACGGAAGCACGACCCTTCAAAGTAGAATCCGAGTGGGAATGGAGAATTCATGGAATCATCTCCATTCCACTACTGGGAGCAAGGACGCTACTAGGGGCTCCTGGCCTCACTACTAGGAGCTAATTTGCTAGTAACAGAAAGCTAATAGTAACAAGTGCATCGCTTCTAGTAACAAGTGCCTTACTAGTAGTAACAAAAAGCTACTAGTAACAAGTGCATCGCTTTTAGTAACAAGTGCCTTACTAGTAGTAACAAGAAGCTACTAGGAACAAGTGCATCGCTTCTAGTAACAAGTGCCTTACTAGTAGTAACAAGAAGCT